ATTAGTTTGACACGCAATTGCTCCTCTGGCATAATAAGAATACATAAGCAGGTTTCAAAACATCGAAAATATGTTCTATAAGTTGAAAGGCGTAATCGTAGTCACAAATTCATTAAGAAACATTACAGTCATTGCTTCCAAATCAACAATTAAAGAGAGTGCCAAACTTATTACGACCTGAATTAATGCAGCTGCAGATCTTCCAGCTCCAGCAATCGCACCAATTGGAACAAAAAGATGTGGGAATGCAGGAGTCATTATTTCCATTCCAAATGCAGCATTTTCCAGAAAATCAGCAAAAAGCCTCCAACCCTTTGGATTAACATCAAAATGTCGTCCATACTTTGACAGCATTATCTTACTGATATAACCAATTCCATCCTTGAGGACCCAATTCACAGCAGCTGCTGTAGGAATTGCCCCCTTTCCTAAACCAACAGCATAAAGCAAAGCCTGCAAAAAATCAGCAACAAAAATATCACCCACACCACCAAGTACAAAGCCATAGACTTTATTCATCCATATGAATCAACTCCTTATCCATGCTAAGATACTCAAAAGTGTCCATATTCACTTGAAACAGCTAAAATAAGGCCGACAATTACACTAGTGCGTTTGGGTACACCCATTGCTTCCTATGCTCTATCATTTTAACAGATTAAAGGACAGAAAAGAACTGTTCCGAACAAAAACAGAGAATTTAAAAATGTCTGGATGTGGGATAGATGTGCATTAATGTGATAAGCCTCATCAAAATGGTGACTGGAATTGTTTGAGATCGAAAAGGTTGAACCGAACAATATATTATGTAAAATGGAAGTGTAATAATGACAGCTAGTGTCAATAAAGTGCAGTAAAATGATGGTGTGATTGGCTATTAGAAAGTAAGAATGAGTAATAGTGCACTATTCACCATTCGAAAGTCAGCTTGGTATCTCTCTTACATGTTTTTTACTAATTTCTCCTACATCTAACCATCCATTATTTGATCCCCAACAACAATCACCTGGTAAGTATTTTACTGCAAATTGATCATACACTGTTCGCTACATAGAAGACATTACAACATATCAACACGTACTTCAAATTAAATTAAGCATGAAAACTGTAAGATGGAAAAGGTAAAATTTACTACCTGAGTTGCAAGCACACCACTAATTTGAGCAGCAATCCCCTGAACCCCTCTCCAGAGAGAATACTCGAGGTAGTCACTCGTAACACTCTCCGGAAACCCCTCCGGGAGCATCACACTCTCAACCAAACCCCTACATTTAATCCAAACATCGCCCAAACTCAACCCATACTTAGACTTGTCGCCTTTTGACCACCAAGCCCACAAGCTATCGGGGACGATGAACTCGTCTTTGGAATAATCTGGGACTAGCTCAACTCTCTTTCCACCCCTGATCTCGAATAAAACTTCCTCGTGATTATCTGATAAATCCTCAGCCTTTGCTCGCGCCTCGGAAGGCGAAAAGACCAAGTAGCTTAAGAAAGCTGATATGGAAATGAGTAGCCCATTAACGTGTCTGGGGAGATATACGGAATACGAGTCTTCTCTGTCGCCAAATATGAAGTGAAAGGGCAGGAGAATAAGCGCTTTCCCGTCAAAATTGAAGAAATTGTTGTTGCTCCAATAATCCCCGCCGCCGCCGCCGCCGCCGCCACCATCTCCGCCTCTTCCATCACCGCCGTCGCGGTCCCCGTAGCAGTCGTAGTAGCTGAGGGGTGAGACGGAGTAAGTGAGTGGAGTGAAATGGGGGAAGCGGTTGGGCTTGAGCAATTGGAAGTGAAGAGCTAATCGTTTGTCTGTGCGGTGGTGCCGGGAGGGGAAGGCGATCAATCGGGTAGAGGTTGTAGCGGGGAACGTGGTGGCGGTGGCCGTGGAGGAGGGCGGTGGGGTGAGGGAGGGCAGGTTGCAGGCAGAGCAACCCATAACTGCGGCGCGACTCGGGAAGTCGATTGTATCAAATTTTCAGCTGCAAATGTTTCGCACGGTATACGATGTCGTTTTTCGGGAAGCAGTGGCGCAAATGGGACATATTATGAAACAAGTCCTTGTTATAAAACGATTTTTATTGAATTTCTTAATTATAGGAAAAAATTTTACGGCGTAATTGGAAATATATATAATTATAATAAAGGGAAAAATAGTTGGTCATACCCTAAATCGATGGGTTAAGGGGGCTGCTGTGGCTAACTTACAGCAGCCCCTGCTGTTACTTATCCACCATTAGATCTAGCTTATTTAAAAATAGATCCAAGGGCTATAAACATGTAACAAATAAATTATCTTTATACTTTATAAACCTATTAAACTAAACCTGCCCCTAATAAACTAAAACCTGCTACCGCGAGAGTTTGTAAAGATTTTGGAAAAACATGGAGGAACAAGATGGCGTTCTAAATATCACACCAGCAAAAGAAATTTGGTCCGAAAAAAATATAGAAATGGATTCAATGTGTTTGGATCCAATAATAGAGGATGATAATTTTCATGAAGTTGGTAAAAAAATGGAGCCTAGAAAGAAAAACCCTACAGGGTAAGTTTTTCAAATTTTCTTTCATTGTTTTTATTTTTCATTGCAACTATTCTTGGAGGGTTGAGTTAGAATATTTTTTTTTTTTTTTTT